GGTAGGATAGATGTTCTAGTAGGAAGGATGTTCGTAGTGTCGTCTACAAGCTTTTCTATATACGAAATAAGCCGCGGTTATACGGCGCTATATACCGCGCTCTAAATACTCTCTAAGTATATATATATAGTATAGTATGCTTTATTAGCCGCACGGAATAGAAGTCTTCGAAAATCCCGTTAGTACTAAGGAGTTAAAGGCCGGCTACGCTGCCGGCTACGCTGCTAGGTCTTATAAAGAACTAAAAGAAGATAGACATTCTAGTTAATTTGTATTAGTTTGGATTTTCAGAAAAAGAAAACAAGGAAAAAAGGAAGAAGATTAAAGAACCTAATACTTATAGTTATAGGTATTATCCCTATTCTCTAGACTATATTATATACCTGCTTTCGCAACTCTACCTAATACTCCTACTAAATATCCTTATACTCTACCTACTAGAAATTCAACTAGGTACCTAGACCTACAGCTGCCTCTATATCTTTTACTATCTTCTATAGGTTAAAGGACTCCTCTATAGCAGCCTCTACTTCCTTATATAATACGAAGTTACTGCCTGCCCTATCCTTAACATCTACTAAATAACCTAGAGTTCTAAGGAACGAACTAGCATTCGGCCGTAGTATAGCGAGTAACTAGTAGAACGCCCTATAGAGCTGCCTTATAGCTGTTTCGTATATAGTGCCGATATCGAGGGAGGAGCTATCCTAGTACTTAATATTAGAGTATAGTTTAGTAGGAAAGCATATAAACTTCTTACGGAGAGCTTCGACGGAAATCGATAAGTTCTACCTAGATCTAGATAAAGACATTCTACTAAGCAGTTAGGGAATTGAACCGTAAACGAAAGAATGAAATTTATACCTAAGGAGTGCAGTTTCCGAACTAAACTATAATGCCTTATATATATATATATATATATATACTTTTGATTAGTTAGTGCCCTTAGCTAATTGTCTATAGATTTAAGGTTATATAAGTACCTTTATACAACTACGTAGCCTAAGTAGGATTCGAAAATTCTATAAGTACTAAGGACTAAAAATGCCGGCTACGCTGCCGGCTACACTGCTAAGTCTTACAAAGGGCTTGCTTAAAGCTACGTATACATTCGTACACTTCTTAAAAACCGATAAATTATATAGTTCGAACTAGCTACTTATATAGTTACTTAGCAAACCAACCTAAACTAAACTAGAGTTTCGGCTTAGCAAACCAAACCAAACTAACCCGAACTACTACGGGGTCTAAATATTACTATTCTTACTACTAGACAACTTAACCTACTTCGATTTACGTAGCTCCGTATTTAATATAATAGAGAGCTAGCCGACGCGATACGTATAGGACTTACTCCGTAGTTTACTAGCCTAGTACTATACGACCTTCCCTATAGTAAGGTTATTTTCCTATATCTTACGTATTACTTCTTTATAGCGCTATCTTTTATCGCGACGAGCGCGGGGCTAGCGAGTTACGTAGTAGGTCGACTCGTTATTACTACTACTAACGCTACTACCGTCTATACTGCTATCTACTTCTAGTTATAAGCGATCCGCTAGGTCCTCCTCTTCGGTAGACCTATTACCTAGATACTTATAAGATAGAATACTAGAAAGATCGGAGGAGGCAGATAGACTAGAAGGAGATCTATCCGCGGCGGAGGATAGAGATAGTCTTATAGAAGTAGGCTAGAAAGCCGCGGAGGGTATAGTTATAATAGAAATATGCGATAATATAGTCGTATCTACCTAGCGTATATCGCGATATAGGCGCTATAACGACGACGATATATTTGTACCCGATTTCGTACCTAGGAAACTTCGGGAAAAAGATAGCAATACGGAGAGAGGTATTCCCGCCGCGGAGAGAAGTTTTTACCGTAGGAAATAGTCGTTCTAATAGTAAAACTAGGGTTATACGATTCTCCTATATAAATGTTTAATATAGGAAGTTGAAATCCCGATAGAAACGGCCTAGACGAGAATAGCGATTCCTATATTCCCTACTCTAATTAGTAGAAAAATTTGCTTAGCTCCGTATAGTTTTTATCTAAGCCCGCTACGGAGTAGTCTATATACGGTACGCGGACCGCTATATTCCGTAAAGGCAAATTGTCTAATAATAAAACGTAGGTAAGAATATAAAGGTAGGAATCGCTAATATTCTCGTCTAGTCTCGAGAAGCAGATCCCCCGGGACTGCTACGTAGTAGCTCGCTTTAGCATTTAACTAGTAGGTACCGTATATACAAGGCGCGCGTAAAGCTACGGGCGTAGCGGAATTGCCGTCCTTAGTATCGGTATTCTTATCTTCTCGATTACTATTAAGCGAGATATCGATATTAAGTATTAAGTATAATCCTTCCTACTACGCCTAGAACTTGCCCTTATAGGCGACGCGAGGTCCGCTACGGACCTTGCTACCCTCTACCGGCTAATCCCTAAGCCGTTTTTTTGTATTCCTTATCTACGCTAGCTAGAATACGAATACCTCGCTACGAAGATTACTCGGAACTATATTCCGACCGGTACGCCCGAGACGCTAGCGAAGATTTAGGTAGTTATACTCTAATATAAGACCCTACTAGATAACGATTTGTACTATACGGATATTAATGCCTACGCTAAGGGCGGTAGTAGCAATTATAATATAGATAGTACTATCCGCTACGCTAAACTTACGAAACCGCAGGTCCTAATCGTATATAGGTATAGCGGATATATAGAATTAGACAATTCTAAGAACGTTTAGTATAGGATTAGACCTATTTCCCTAATAATACTAGTTTTCTCGATATAGGTCCTTAGTCCGAAGTACTAGCTAGGCTCGAACGCGATTTATAAGCGCGATTACGTCCGGGCGACTATCAATAAAGATAATAGTCTTTAGTATCTCCGCTAGCGTAGCCCGTTAGTCCGCTACGGACTAGGCTTCGCCCGTATTAGCTAGCGTAGTAGTAGCTAAATTCGAGCCCGTAGCGGGTAGAGGCGAGCCCGCGGTACTTACGGCCTTTTTAATTACAAAATACAACTAGCTATAGACTGACTTTATATTTTTATCTAACTCTTTAAAGATATACGTATAGTTAACGCGATCGATACTAGTCCGTAGTACTATAGAATAATATAGCTCGTACCCGACCGGTCTAAACCCGCTATAATTTAATATATAGGCTTAGGTTACGGTATCTAGGGTTCTAGTATAGCTAAACTATATACAGTCCTAGCGGAGAAGCTACCTAAGCTACGCGACTATAAGGAATTCCTCGCGGAAGCTAGCCTATTTCGAGAGGAGATGAATTTTATCGAATACGACTAGCCCGATACGTAAGGAAAGATTCGGATCCTTTAGGGTATCCTTAAAGTTATCGGATACGGCCTACTCCGGGCCTAGAATAATATAATCGTACTAGCCCGCTCTGATTTTAGTAAACAAATCTAGATTCCGCTACTTAGCCTTACTCGTAACTAGTACGGGATTAACGTATTCCCCTACGATCTTCTTTAAGTCCGCTTCTTACTCCGCCCTAAGCCGAGTAAGAGGTACTAACTAGATAGTAGTCTATCTAGTAAGTATAGTAAAAGCCTAGAAGATTAGGCTCTTACCTAAACTAGTCTTTACGACAAATAGGACATCCTATCGCTAGTAAATTAAGGCCCGTAGTATAGTAACCTAGATCCGATACGGCTTTTTCTTAGGCCGCTATTTAGATAGTTTATATAATCGATTTAATATTTACCTTATTCTAGCTTCGATAATATCGAATTAGAGGTCGACTAAATCGGTATAGTCGACGGTATAAACTATCGCGCGAATAGATTTAAGAGTATAGTTATAGATTCGATTAACTATAAATCGAATAATCTCCCGTAGATCGGTATATACGACCCTCGTAGAAAGCTCTACGGGAATACTCTATAGCGTAGCGGACTTCTAGAGCTTACCTAGCTAGAAACTATTCTAGATTCTCTAAGCTAATTTTCCCGATTTCGCTCTTATAAATTGCCCTCTAGTCGCGGCCCTTCTCTAACCCGTAACGCGTAGAGCCTACTCTACTCGCGGCGTTAAAACCGGCTCGAGTATTACGGTATTCTAAACGTATCTCTTACTAACTCGGAGCTACGATACCTAGCTAATAATATTAGGCGGGAGGACTACGAGCGCTAGATAGGATAGTATCGGAGATAGATAAAAGTTACGGGAGCTTCTTCGCGGTATTATATTTACCCGCCGCGGATATTATTTCGATCGTTACGGAGTTAGTTTATCGCTCTACGGTCGTAGTAGGGTAGACGCGTCTAGCTTTAATATAGTAAGCGATATTCGATTTTCGGGTATATATAGATTTTCCCCGGCGAGTAGTAGACCTAAGTTCTTTAGATTTTAGGGATAGATAGTTTCTATAACTACGTAGGGCTTAACTATAGCGGATTTTGCGATTTTCGATATATAATAGTATTATAGTTAATAGCATCTACTTACTACTACGATTATCTATACACGCGCACTAAAACCCGATAGAAACGGATTAGACTAGTAATAAAGGGTGTTGTGTGGTCTGTACGGGAGTTTATTTCTATAGTGGCTTGTAGTGGCTAAGTACAGATATACCATACAACACCCTTTGTTACTGGTCTGAGTAGAGATAGGGGCAGATGCCGCGCGAGAATGAGTAGGGTATAGAAGAGTGCCCGGCCTCTGTCGATGGCATAGAACCTGTACGTACGTCCTCGGAACATTGTGCGGGCGCGGTCAGCTTTGGAGGTCTGCAGACCTCGTGAATAACCAATGCCTCACATGATGAGACAAGTACATATGTTTTGTGGGGAGACGCGGAGGAAAGTCCACTTGAGCAGCAGGACTGGAGGTGTCCCACCGATGATGGCGGTACTGTCCACCGACGTTGCTGTAAACAAAGAGCATCACATTGCCGTCGTAGCAGCGACAGTCGCAGCCTTCCTGTCCTCTCCATTTACAGGCTCCACAACTCCACCGCTGTCAATCTCTATCTAAATCTGGATTGTTCAATGCTGCCCTATAAGTCTCCCGAGCAGGTATCATGAATCCAGCAAAGAACTTATTGATCGACTCAACGTAGTCTGCAGCCCCAACATAGCTCACATACTGGTCAGGCCTGATCACTACTGCACAGCCAACTGACTTATCAATTTCGAAAGTCTCATATATTCTTCCATGTCCCTCATGATAAGAATCCTCGTCGACAAATATTTTGGCGTAGTCCCACCCATCAAGCTCGTCGTATGGCCGGAACACAGGGTGGAAGTCGAAGATCGTGGTAGTAGCACGTGGAGCGCAATGTACTGCCAGAATCTCGAATCCCGAATCATACCTCGCATTTGCGGATGTGTATCGTCTCAAGAATGAAGCTTCGTGATCGATAGCTTTTCCAATGGCTTCTGCGCACTGCCGTTCAGATGGTCTGGATATGTCTCCGACGAAGAAGGCGATTCGCCAAAGACCATTACTTGGAAGAAGCTCTTGAAAATGCCATGGCCGAGCATCGGACTGATTGAGGACCTTCACGCTGGGCATACGTTTCCCAACTGGAATTCCTGGGGCCAAGGATTGAGTTGACTGTACTCGAAACTTTGCTGAGGCCGACACCTCAGTGCCGTCTCCTTGGTCAGTTGTTTCGCCAGCTTTTGCAACAATGCTGCTAGCACCATAATCGACAGCTGAGAAGAGAGCATTGATCAGCGTCGGCCAAACTCGAGCCGGAGCGATGCTTACCAATGCCGCTCGCGAACAGGTTTCCTTTTACGAATGCGTCTTTGAACTCTTCCATACTGACGCCTTCAGCGTCCATGACATCCTTTGCGGGGCGTCCGGAAAAGAGTCTCGAGAAACGGTGGTCGAACTCAATGAGATCTTGTGCTATGCGACGTCTTTCGGACTGGTAAGTTTTCAGGATCGCCCGGGAGGAAACACCTTTGACGACACTTGCAACTTTCCAGGCAAGATTGAATGCTGGGCAAGCAAATGTTAGCAATTTGGTATATCGTTGAGCACAGCCCAAAGAGGGCCATACTGTCCTGCATACTAACGTTCATACCCTGCCCAGCTTTGGGACTATGTGTATGAACAGCTGGGAGCATCAATGTCAGTCGCATTCGTGCAAAATCAGGTTCCGACAAAGTAGGCATACCATCGCCTGCGAGGAACACTCGTTCATGAGCAGAGAAGCTTGTGCCGACTCGTTGTCCAATTTGATACGCAGTCCACCAGTCAAGCTTCCTGTACGTGATGTTGTAAGGAGCCATAATCTTCTGGGCAGATGCTAGGATAGTCTCAGGTGAGATTTTCGACCGGTCTGCTTTCGCCGCACCGCCTTCGGCAGCATTCTCGGTTGTAGTCAGCTGAATGTAAAGTCTGACAAGCTTGTTCTCTCGAGGTATGACTATAACGCTTCCACTCGATGCAGAGTGAATTGCACAGCGCATGCGAATGTCTGGAAAGTGTTGTTTGTCTTAGACTCTTCTTACACCTTCTGTAACGTAAAAGATATAGCAAACAAGAGGAGATACTAATAGTAGGCTCCTAGTTAGCATTAGATAGATTATCCAATTCATCAGAGTTTACACTTATAAGTAGTTTCAATAGGTTGAGCCCTATTCCGCATTTTAATCTAATATCCTCCGAACTGCGACTAAGAAGTAAAGTAGCCTCGTTAGCACAGCTCTAAATTCCTTTCCGTTAGCATTACTAACGAGTCCCTATATCTCCTTCTTCTTTCTAGTTTCCGTACGAATCGGTCTACTAGTAAGAGTTAGAATTTCTTATATATTTGTAAAGATTAGGAGCGCCTTTGCCTACGCTTCTATACGCGTACTCTCGGGCGCTTAAAATAACATTATCTACTACCGAGAAGGCAAGCACCTCTCTTATCGACCCTAATAGCGACAAAGTCTTAGTATCCTAATAACAATTTACTACCTAGGATCGTATAACTACGGTTCGCGCGAAAGCTAAGAACTATTATAGCCTTATTAAAGGAACTAAGCCCGCGCTAGTTAAGCCGGAGATTCCGACCTGGCTAGACAGAGCACAAATCGCTAAACAACTCGGCATTACCGGTACTACTCGAAATTGGACTACCGACTATAAAGAGGCAATTTAAGGAGAGTATACCGATTAGAAGGAGGACTATAAAGTAGCTATATTAAGCTATAAGCATAAGAAGGAGCAATACGATAAATACGATAAGCGAAAGCGGGAATGTATCGCCTAGCTCTAAGGCAAAGTCTATCTAGCGATCTACGGGTTAGTCTTAGAAACAGATAGTCTATAGACACTTTACGAGGGCATAGTTAAGTATATTAAAGTCTCCGATTAGAGAGCACTATAGTAAGCTACCGCAGACTTTAATAGAGCTAAAGTATAGCACTACGATAGTATAGTAGACTATATCTACAAATTAGAAATGCTCCGACTCGATCTCCGGTTACTAACTAAGAATAATAATTATATATCCGACAATAAGCTTATAGCTAAGATAATCGAAGGTCTAGGACGAGACTACGAGGATTTCGTTACGGCTTATAAACGATATAGCGATGTAGGCATCTCGACGTCTCTTACCTTACTAAAATCTCAACTTCTAAGCGAAGAAGCGCGCGTACTCTAAAAGAAGAAGAAGGCACTAGTAGAACTAAGGAAGCTAAACAATAGCAATAAGGCATCTACTCCTAGTAGCAACTCTTTAAAAAACACTAACTTAGGCAAGGAACGTAAAAAGTTAGACTATTATAGCAGATAGGGTTTCTACGAAGAAACAGAGTGCTAGGTTAAACACCCTAAACTAAAGCCAAAGCAGGAAGGCGACAAGACTAAATTAGCACTAGCTAGTACCCCTACCGACAAAGGAGGACAATCCGCTTTACTTATAATTAGTAATAATGTTAACTACTATAGTACTATTAGACTAGATAGGTAGATCGGTCTTATAGAAGGAGATAACGATAAGTTCTAGAAACTCCTACGAGAAGCGTAAGACTAGGTAGCAACTACCCCTTAGCGAGTCTAGGCACTAGTAGAGGTGTTTAATAATTACCTCTATATAGATAGTAACCTCGACCTCGACTTCGTAATTTAAATGTAGGACACCCTAGCTATCGCTACAGAAGTGACCGTACTAGACGAATTCGAGTGCTTAGACTCTTTATATAATTCTAAAGAGCTTAACAACAACCTAAGGGTTACTAGCCTTAATGTATTACGCAACACTCGACAGCGTCCGCTTACAGTTAATTATTAGCTAGAAGGCGTACGTTATCCCGACCTAACGGAGAACGTTCTAGAGCTCTAACTAACTCCGATAATTAACTAGGCACTAAGAACTTCGGCTACAGTGTTATACTAACGCCTCGGCTAACTGTCCCTAATACGCGAGAGAGCTATAAATGCTAACCTAACCTCCGATAATAGCAGATAGCTTTAGGAAGAGCTCTAAGCTAGTCTGCCTAAAGAAGAAGGCTATATTGCCGATAACGAGTTAGGAGAAGATTAAGAATTCTTTAGCTTTACTATAGAACTAGAACCTAGTATATGTACCTAGTCGTTCTCTAACCCCGCCGTTACTAACACAACTTTACAGATAGTTAGTAAGACAGGCATTTAGAGGGAGGAGTTTAATAAGGAGATTCTAAGAACGCATATCGGGGGATAGGAGTTTGTACTAGTAGGTAACGAGTCGCCCGCGATAAAAATAGCATTCGCGATAGCTACGCTAGAAGAGGCATTAGTTACAAGGGACACATAGCTGTTAGACAGTAGTGCTACGATATACATTTGCAATAATGTTAAATAGTTTACTAAACTGCAACCACTCTAGTTTCAGATCGGTATAGCCGACAGCGGTGCTAAGCTTTAAGTATAAGGAGGAGGTACTATAGAAATCTATATAATCGATTAAGACGGTGCCCCGTTTAAGCTTAAACTCCTAGGAGTTGCTTTTGCACTATATAGCATATATAACCTCCTATTACAATCTAAGCTAGACAAGTCCGGTATATATAGGAAATAGGGCGGAGGAGAAGTTAAGCTCCTTACCGCCGGAGGCTACTATATTAGTACTACTAAGATAATGAAAAATCTCTATATAATGCAGTTAGTCAATATCCTATAGAGCAAGGAAGAATAGTAGTCGATTCCTCTATTTGCTGCAAAAATAGATATAGACACGCATCCCGTACTTGTCTAGTACCGACGTCTAGGCTACCTAAGCTTCTACCGCATAAGAAAATTGCTTAAATATAGCTAGACCCCGCAGTGGTTCGGGTTGGTTTGGTTTGGTTTGCTAAGCCGAAACTCTAGTTTAGTTTGGGTTGGTTTGCTAAGCAACTATATAAGTAGCTAGTTCGAACTATATAATTTATCGGTTTTTAAGAAGTGTACGAATGTATACGTAGCTTTAAGCAAGCCCTTTATAAGACTTAGCAGTGTGGCCGGCAGCGTAGCCGGCATTTTTAGTCCTTAGTACTTATAGAATTTTCGAATCCTACTTAGGCTACGTAGTTGTATGAAGGTACTTATATAACCTTAAATCCATAGACAATTAGCTAAGGGCACTAACCAATCAAAAGCATATATATACATATACAAGGCATTATAGTTCAGTTCGGAAACTGCACTCCTTAGGTATGAATTTCATCCTTTCGTTTACGGTTTAATTCCCTAACTGCTTAGTAGAATGTCTTTATCTAGATCTAGGCAGAACTTATCGATTTCCCTAGAAGTCCTCCTCCTTAAGAAGTTTATACACTTTCCTACCGAACTATTCGACAACATTAAGTACTAGGATAGCTCCTCCCTCGGTATCGGCATAGTATATAAAAGAGCTATAAGGCAGCTCTATAGAACGTTCTACTAGTTACTCGCTATACTAAGGCCGAATGCTAGTTCGTTCCTTAGAACTCTTAGTTATTTAGGAGATATAAAGGGTAGGGCAGGTAGTGACTTCGTATTGTATAAGGAGGTAGAGGCTGCTATAGAAGAGGCCTTCAACCTATAGAAGATAGTAAAAGATATAGAGGCAGCTGCAGGTCTAGGTACCTAGTTAAATTTTCAGTAGGTAGAGTATAAGGATATTTAGAGGGAGTATTAGGTAGAGTTGCGAAGGCAGGTATATAATATGCTCTAGAAAACAGGGATAGTGCCTATAACTATAACTATTAGGCTCTTTAACCTTCCTTATTTTTCCCTGTTTTCTTTTTATAAAAATCTAAACTAATACAAATCAACCGGAATGTCTATCTTCTTTTAGTTCTTTAAAAAACCTAGCAGCGTAGCTAGTAGCGTAGCCGGTAGCGTAGCCGGTAGCGTAGCCGGCCTTTTTACTCCTTAGTACTAACGGGATTTTGGGAGACTTCTATTCCGTACGGCTAATAAAGCATACTGTACTATATATATATGCTTAGAGAGTATTTAGAGCGCGGTATACAGCGCCGTATAATAGCGGCTTATTTCGTATATAGAAAAGCTTGTAGATAACACTACGAACATCCTTTCTACTAGAACATCTATCCTACCTAGCACCGTCTCGAATGTAGACATTCTAGCCTTTTAGAATCTAATCGAGTGCTTTGAAATCCTTGTCTATAATCGTTATACGCTTCGCGTAGATAGCTATAAGGTTGACCGCTAAAATAGTATTAGTATAGTCCGAAAAGAGGTAGAAGAGAAACATATATTCGAAGATACGAACTAGGTAGGCTTCTATAGCCTCTTAAAGGGCGCCTATCGCGGAGGCTTAGAAGCGAAGGTCCGTTCTATAATCCTAGGCAATTTCGCGAACAAGTCGTTAGAAAAGAGTTTTACGGATTAGGAGCTAAGAACTCTTCTAATACTGCCGAATCTTACGGAGGGCTACGGCTAAAGAAGGATTAGTAAAAAGACAGTAAGAATGCCGGCTACGCTACCGGCTACGCTACCGGCTACGCTACCGGCTATAAATAGGACTTACTTCCTAGGCGCTATCGACGCTTCGTACGATTGCTACTAGTAGTAGAAGCGCTAGTTGTCGTCTTGCGTAGAGCCTTGCCCGCCGTTGTCTTACGCGGAGCCTTGCCCGCCGTTATCTTACGCGGAGCCTTACTCGCGACGCCCTTTCTAGCACCGGAGCTAGCGGCAGCAGTAGCAGCTATCTTACGTTAATATACTATGCTCGTTCTACTATTTCCGATCTTGTTACGACCCGTAGAAGTAGTAGGTCCCTTCTTACGAGGCGTCGTAACTTAGTTAAGTAGACTCGCTATTATAAAAGTCGTCGAATTGAGGAAAAAAGTGCGTTACGAAGGTATACGAAGACGCGCGCGGAGCGAGGGTATTACGGAGGTAGTAGATATAGAGCGTAGAGGTATAGGTATCGATGCGAAGGTTGAATATAGCGGTAGTGTCGCGGTATCGCTAAGCAATAGAGTAAGCTTCGCGCAAGCCTATATTATAGTAACGTTAGAGCAAGGAAAGAAG